CCTCCTGAGTAGCTGGGATTACAGGTGCATGCCACTACTCCAGGCTAATTTTGTATTTTTAGTAGGGATGGGGTTTCACCATGTTGGCCAGGATGGTCTCAAACTTCTGACCTCAGGTGATCCACCCACCTCAGCCTCCCAAAGTGCTGGGAATATAGATGTGAGCCACTGTTCCTGGCCTGTTGTCTACTTTTTCCATTAGAGACCTTAGCACACTAATCACAGTAATTTTAAATTTCTGATCCAATAATTCCAAAATTTCTGCCATTGGCTTTGTCTCTTCAGACTGTGTCTGTTAATGTGTCGTAAATTTTGTTGATAGTCGGGCATGATGTGTCAGGTAATAGTAACTCAGGTAAATCGGGCTTTAGTGGTTTTTGTGTACGTAGGAGTTAGGCTGTGTTTACTGTTTGCTGTAGTTGTGTCAGAGACTTCAGTTTCCTCGAATGTTCTTGTTTTTGTCTCCCTTGTTGTCTGGCAGCTTCTCTGGAAACTCAGGAATTCTGGTTTGTGTCTTGCAGCTCTCTCAGGTGTAATCCACCATGTTTACACTGGAGCCTTGTTGCTGTGGTGGTGAGGTATTGGTGAGGGGAAACCTTAATCTTGTAATTAAATCTCCATTTTGGGGGGTTTGTTTTTTAATGGGCCAGAGCCCCTGGGCTATAACCTCCAAAAGAATTTCTTAGCTTTGTCTCATCTCCCACTACATGACACAGGAAAGCTAAAGGAGACCGTAGTTGTCTAATTGCCCTTCCCCTAAGCTAGTCAGATGCTGGAAAAGTAGTTTCCATAGAGGGCAGGAACTTTGTTACAGAGAACAGAGCATTCTGGGCTTATTTCCACATGGTTTACCCTCCTCCTCTGCGAAGTGTGAGGAGGTTTTGTTCAGATCTTTACTGTGAGAAACTGATGGGACTCTTGGTGGCCAAACACAAAAATGTACCTCCCCACTCTATCCCCGCAAGAATGGCTATCTGAATTTTTTAAACCCTTAAGCTAGTCCACACTCATCCTCCAGCAGTTCATACTTACTGTTTAAATGTTCCCAGTAGTTACTGTTTCCGGCTGCTTCTGCTCCTGGTAAACTGCGATTCTGTGTAGTCTCCTGTCTCTCTGGTTCTCAGGTTGGCAGTGTACCCTATGACCTCAATTCTCTGAGGATCACTTGAGCCCAAGAGTTCGAGGCAGCAAACTCGATCATGCCACTGCACTCCAGCCTGGGTGACAGACCAAGACCTTGCCTCAAAAAAAAATATATATATATATTTAAAGTACTCTATTTCACAGATTCAAAGGTGTGCATATTCTCATATTTTAATATCTCTGAAATTATGATGTGTTTTGCCATCATTGGCATGTCATGGTTTAATTGGCAGCATCCCCCCTCCCACCCACATCCTTAGGAATACATAAAACTATGTGTGTGTGTGTGTGTGTGTGTGTGTGTGTGTGTATACATATATACAATATCTTTTAAAATCAAGAGGATCTCAGAGCAATGCAATGTAGTAAATTCTTACTTTTTAAGTAACATATGTGCATAATTTCAAAAACCAAATAATTTTGTTTTCATTATGAAAAAGGGCAGTCTCCTACCCATCATCCTTTTGCTAACCTATCGCAAGGGATGATGATTTTCAACTCATTTAGCTGTTACTTCTGCTATTTGCCTCCATATTTCTAAATAACATAAACAGCTGTTTAATTTTTTTAAAAAGTTGGGATTACAAGAGGCTGAGGCAGGAGAATTGCTTGAACCTGGGAGACAGAGGTTGCACTGAGCTGAGGTCATGCCATGGCACTCTAGCCTGGGCAAGAAGAGTGAAAAACTCCGTCTCAAAAATAAAAATTAAAAAAAAATAAAGCCCATAATTTCTTCTTAAATTCTCAATTTCGGATAAGTTTCTATTGACTTTCTACTATGGACTAATAGATTTTGCTCTCTAAAATCACTTTATGCATTTACCACTACAGCATTCTTCCAATTTATTTGTATGTTATATCACATGGAAATGTTTTTCCCTGGAGTTAACAATTGCTTTCAAATTAGATTTTATTCTTATTTAAAGCGAAACCTGCATAGTTGACACAGAGAAAAATAGTTCTTCAAAGCCTGTTTTGTATGTGTATTTTAAAAGTCTTTTTTTGGGGGGCGGAGGACAGAGTTTAGCTCGGGCTGGAATGCAGTAGCGTGATCCTGACTCACCACAACCTTCACCTCCCGGGTTCATGCAATTCTCCTGCCTCAGCCTCTCGAATAGCTGGGATTACAGGCATGTGCCACCATGCCCGGCTAGTTTTGTATTTCTAATAGAGATGGGGTTTCTCCATGTTGGTCAGGCTAGGCTCAAACTCCCAACTCAGGTGATCTGTCCACCTCGGCCTCCCAAAGTGCTGGGATTACAGGCATGAGATACTGCGCCCAACCTTAAAAGTCTTTAACGCCTTTTCCTGTATTCTGCTTCTATGAGCAACCCACCTTTTGGTACAAAAATTTTGCTCTTAATTTATAATTTCCTAATTTTCTTACTTTTAGTGATATTGATTGAGTAATTTTTATGGAATATAAAGACTGTCTGTTTCTCGTACACCCTACACAGCGTCTTCTCCAAATCCCACAGATAAATGTGCATGTTCTGTCTCTCCCTATCCTTCCTTCCTTGCCTCCATTTCTCCCTCCTTACCCTTCCTTCCTCCCTTCCTGCCTCTCTCCCTCCCTTCCTTTTGTCCTTCTCTCCCTCCCTCTCTCCCTCCTTCCTTCCTTCCCTCCCTCCCTCCTTCCTTCCTTCCTTCCTTTCTTTCCTTCTTTTCCTTCCTTCCCTCCCTTCCCTTCTTTTCTTTTCTTTTTGTTTTTGAGACAGGGTCTCTGTCACCCTTGCTGAAGTGCAGTGGCATGATCTCAGCTCATCCAGCCTCAACCTCTTGACCTCGATCAATCCTCCCACCTCAGCGCCCCTGTAACTGGGACTACAGGTGTGCACCACTGTGTCTGGCTAAGTTTTGTATTTTTTGTAATGACAGGATTTCACCATTGTTGCCCAGGCTGGTCTTGAACTCCTGAGCTCAAGTGACCCAGTCTCCCAAAGTGCTGGGATTACAGACCTGAGCCACCACTCCCAGCCCCTGTGCATCGTTTCAAAATGATTATATCATATTATAATTTTAGTTAAATGAGTATTCAGTGTTTACAGTTTTATGACCATCAAAACACTATTGTCAGCCTTGCCCAGTTGTATTTCATCATGGCTTTCCCTTTATTATACAACTTTTTGTTTTCCCTAATATTAACACAGCTTTTGTTTCTTGTTTGCTGAGTTTTCTATATTCTAATTGCTAATGATCTCTATTGCTGCTATAACAAATTACTACAAATTTAGTAGCTTAAACAGAACCACTTCTTATCTCACAATTCCAAAGGTAAGAAGACTGAGTAGAGTGTGTCTGCTGGGATCCTCCACTTAGAGTCTCACAAAGCAGAAATCGAGGTGTCAGCTGGGCTGCCTTCCTTTCTGGAGGTCATGGAGTTGAATCCACCTTCAAGCTCATGGAAGTTATTGCTCAGATTTCATTTCTTGCAGTCATTTCCTTCCTGGGTAGAATCCAGGGGTTTGTCTTTGCTCCTAAAGGCCACCTGCATTCCTTCTCATGCCTTTTATGTACTCCTCTTCTCCTGGCAATGGGGCCCAAGTCCTTCTCACACTTAGAATTGTTGCCACTTCCCCTCCTTCATCATCTCTCTTGCTTCCTCTTCTGCCACAACTCTCTCACTTCAGCTGGAGAAAGTTCTCTGCTTTTAAGAGTTCATGTGATTAGGTTGAGCCCACCCAGATAATCAGGATAATCTACCTGTTTTAAGGTCTGCACCTCAATCCTTCCTTCCTCCCTCCCTCCCTCCCTCCCTCCCTCCCTTCCTTCCTTCCTTCCTTCTTTCCTCCGCACCTCAATCACAAGTCTACAAAGTTTCTCTTGCCATGTAACGTAATATATCCACAGGTTCCAGGGATTGGCGTATAGATATCTCTCTTGCTTTGTTTCGTTTCTTTTTTTTTTTTTTTGAGATGGAGTCTTGCTCTGTTCCTTAGGCTGGAGTGCAATGGCATGATCTTGGCTCACTGCAACCTCTGCCTCCCAGGCTCTAGTGATTCTCTTGCCTTAGCCTCCTGAGTAGCTGGGATTACAGGCGTCTGCCACCACATATGGCTCATTTTTGTATTTTTGGTAGAGACGGGGTTTTGCCATGTTGGTCAAGCTGGTCTCGAAACTCCTGATCTCAGGTGATCCACCCACCTCAGCCTCCCAAAGTACTGGGATTAGAGGCGTGAGCCACCGCTCCCAGCTTAGACATCTATCTTTTGGGAAACATTCTACAACTACATATGCTCTCCCTGGCACATTCATTATTCAGCAAATATTTACTAAGCCTCTTTTATGTACATGGTACTGTTCTGAGTCCTGGGGTTATAGCATTTGATAAGACAAAAAAAATCCTTATCCCCAGATGCTTACACTATAATAGGATGTTCTTTAAATCTCAATATTGTCAATTTCAGTTGCTTTTTCTATCAATTTTGATTTATTGAAGAAATCTTCCTGGAGGTGTCTGACCTGTGCCAATCAGCCTGGCTGCTGTCTAAGCCTAAACTGTCACCTTGGAGGCCACCTTCATCACTATCTTGGGGACACCTTTCTCCTCTCCTCTCCCCGGTTCCTAGACCCTCTTTCTCTTTTTAAATTTATTTCATCATTTTTTGTGAGGAACATTCTCCAGTGGCTTCCTGAGGGGAAAAAATATCTGTGAGATAAGCTTTTTGAAACCTTACCAATCTCAAAAGATTTTTATTCTACCCTCATGCCTGGTTGATAGTTTGCCTAGGTATAAGATTCTAGGTTGCAAATCCCTTTTCCAAAACTACGAAGTCATTTGTTCTCATGCTCCTCTAGTATCCATTTCGCTGTTGTAAAATCTGATGTCTTTCTGATTATAACTTTTTCTTTTTTAGAGATGGTATCTTGTTCTGTTGATCTCAAAATCCTGGCCTCAAGCAATCCTCCTGCCTCAACCTTCTGAAGTGCTGGTATTACAAGTTTTAGCCACTGTGCCAGGTGACTTTCTGATTCTTAATCCTTTGTAACAACCAGGTTTGTCTTTCCCAAAGCTTCTTTTTATTCCCAGCATTCTGAAATTTCATGATTAATGGCCTTGAAACAGCTATTGCTTTCCTTCCTTCCTTTGCTTTTTTCCTTTTCTCTTTCCTCCCTCCCTTATTCCTTTCTTCCCTCCCTCCCTCGCTTCTTCCCTCCCTCCCTCCCATCCTTCCTTCCTTTCACTTTTATAAAGACAATTTTATTTTATTTGAAAGGGAGTCTGACTCTGTCACCCAGGCTGGAGTGCAATGGTGCAATCTCGACTCACCGCAGCCTCTGCCTCCCGGGTTCAAGTGATTCTCCTGCCTCAGCCTTCCGAGTAGCTGGGATTACAGGCATGCACTAGCATGCCCAGCTAATTTTGTGTTTTTAGTAGAGATGGGGTTTCTCCTTATTGATCAGACTGGTCTCGAACTCCTGACCTCAGGTCATCTGCCCGCCTTGGCCTCCCAAAGTGCTGGGATTACAGGCGTGAGCCACCGTGCCCGGCCAATTTTTTGTATTTTTAGTAGAGATGGAGTTTCATCATGTTGCTCAGGCTGGTCTTGAACTCCTGAGGTCAGAGAATCCATCTATGTTGGCCTCCCAAAGTGCTAGGATTACAGGCATTTGCCTCCATGCCTGGCCTCTCATGGTGTTTTAAAAATGTGGCACCATCCCCCCAATGTCCTGTAAACTGGTAGCTCAATCCAGAGGCCTGATTAGATTTCAGTTCAGTTTTTGGCAAGAATATTTTATAGAAAGGATTTCTATTTTATATGGTGTCATTGTAGGAACCACATAATATCTAATTGTTCCTCAATGATCTCTCCCAATTTGAAAATATAATTTCTTCAGTTCTGTAATGATTTTCATGAGTTATTTCTGAGTATTTTCTTCCTTCCTCTCCCCATTGTCTGTATCTTCACTTTCCAGAATTCTAGTTATTCAGGTGTTTGACCTCTTGGAATGGCTTTCTACTTTTACTGGTTTTTTTTTTCTTTGTCTTTCCGATTTTTCATTTTTTGTCTTTGGGTCCACTCTCTGAATATTATCTTCCCACCTGTACTAAGTCAAGCTTCTGTGCAGGAGACAGGAACAGAAACCACTCTAGGTATTGCAGGCAGAAAGGGATTGACTACAGGGGATTATGCGGTTACAAACTCATGAGAAGAGCAAGAGTTGCAGAAGTCCAGGAGGCTTTTGTTTCAAAGTCACCATAGATGTGATTGAGAGGTCAGAGGTGCTGCTGCAACTCCTGCTCTGATCATTGTAACTGTCTGACACACATGAAGCTGGGGACTAGGCAATGGATCAGGGAGTCTAGCCACTTTGATTTTGCTCAGAAGTAAAGTTCAAAGATAAAGAGGGCTGTTTGGCTTGAATGAGAAGTTGAAATTGCAAGGCAGTTTATGATATTTCAAGGTCTTTGATATACATCCAACCAATTTTGGCTTTTCATTTTAATGGAACAGGGGCTAAGATCCTAACTCAGAGAGGTCTATAGGTTTAATCAGAAATAGAGTTCCTACAGCTATCACTAACTATGCTAGACAAGGGTAGGCTGTGGCAAGGAGACCAGAATTCCCCTGCACTCACTGAATTGAATTTTGGGCATATAATCACCTCTGTTCTCATATAAATGAAGTCACTAGAAAGGCAAGTAATGTTAATATAAAAAGAAAAGGAAACAGTAGAAAAAGGATTCTGGACTGCATTTCGATTTCATTATAGCTGAACCAGAAATAAGTCTTACAATGAGTCTAGACTCTGCAGACTTCCACCTGCAGAGCAAGTGGCAAGACTTGTCATGCTCAGTATTTCCCCTTGCATTGGAAAGTTCACAGAGCTATCTGCCTCCAGTCTCCTTCTTTAGGGTGCCAGCTGGGCAAAAAAGAACCATTAATTTATTGAGTATTTGTATGTATATTTTAAGAATGATATCTTTTAGCACTTAAGTAGAAAAACACCTGCCGTATTCATTTTAAATAATGTTTGTTGTTGTTGTTGTTGTTGTTGTTGTTGTCGTTTTGAGATGGGGTTTTGCTCTTGCTGCCCAGGCTGGAGTGCAATAGTGCGATCTTGGCTCACTGCAAGCTCCACCTCCTGGGTTCAAGCGATTCTCCTGCCTCAGCCTCTCGAGTAGCTGGGATGATAGGCATGTGCCACCACACCCAGCTAATTTTATATTTTTAGTAGAAACAGGGTTTCTCCATGTTGGTCAGGCTGGTCTTGAACTCCCGACCTCAGGTGATCCACCTGCCTCAGCCTCCCAAAGTGCTGGGATTATAGGCATGAGCCACTATGCCTGGCCTTAAATAATGTATTATAGTAATGCATGGATATATTTTTATTGTAAGAAAACTAAAATATTAAAGATTAAAAACTAAAATCCTTTGTGATCAACCACACCCCCATGCCATTTCTCTTCCCCAGAAGTAACCACATATCAATTATATATAGCAACATGTACCAGTAAAGGTAGGTGAGGTTATGCTGTAATATCAAATATCCTCAAAGTCTCAGTGTCTTATAATAGCAAGAATTTATGTCTTTTTTTTATTTGTTTGTTTTTTGAGACAGGGTCTCACTCTGTCTTCCAGTCTGGAGTGCAATGGCATGATTATGGCTCACTGTAGCCTTGACCTCCTGGACTCAGGTGATCCTCCCACCTCAGCCTCCCAAGTAGCTGGGACTACAGGTGTGTGCCACAACATCCACCTCATCTTTTATGTTTTTTGTGGAGATGGGGTTTCACCATGTTGCTCAGGCTGTTCTTGAACTCCAGGGCTCAAGCAATCCATCCGCCTCAGCCTCCCAGAGTGCTGGGATTACAGGCCTGAGCCATTGTGCCCAGCCTAAAAATTTATATCTTGATTGCACATTTGTCATAGGTTGCATTCAGCTGTATCTATGGACACAGCTGGAAGAAGCAGCTGGAACATGCTGATTTCATGGCAGAAGGAAAAGAGAGAATGTGGGAACCTTAAAGCTTCTGCTTGGATGTCTCACATGTCACTTCCACTCATATTCCCTTGGCCAAAGCAAATCATATGGCTATGCCTGACTTGCGTGGGTGGGGATGTAGAATGCTTCTATAGGGCGAGTCAGTAAAAAAATTTCCATACTTTTATAGAGTATGTAAAACTCTAAAAGTAGATATCGTTTTTATATAATTTATTAGGGTACCGAATCTTACTTTCTTCATGCAAAAATAATGTCTTAGAAGTCTTTCCATGTTATACAAATAGATCCATCTCTTTTTAATTTAATTTTGTAATTTTTTAAAACTCAGGGCAGATGTCACCATCTCCTTTTTATTATTCGTTTAATATTTATTTATTATTTATTTATTTATTGAGACAGAATCTTGCCCTGTCACCCAGGAGTGCAGTGGCACGCAATCTTGGCTCAGTGCAACCTCCATGTCTCCTGGGTTCAAGTGATTCTCCTGCCTCAGCCTCCTAAGTAGCTGGGATTACAGGTGCCTGTGACCACACCCAGCTAATTTTTTTGTATTTTTAATGAAGATGGGGTTTCACCGTGTTGGCCAGGCTGGTTTCAAACTCCTGACCTCAAGTGATCCCACCGCCCTTAGCCTCCAAAAACTGTTAGAATTACAGGCGTGAGCCACTGTGCACTGCTAATTCTTCCATTTCTTATTTGAGAATGTCAAAGAATTCATCTCCAATCAGCAAGTGGAACATTGTATTTTGTTTATTTGTTAATGGTTTGCAACCCATAAAATAATTCATACATTATTTCAACATGAATGGCCAAAATGTACTGATTATTGCAGCTGGATGTCAGGAATAGCCTAGGTCACAGGTGGGTGGATAACAGACAAAACTATTTTTACTTTTTTTTTTTTTTGAGACGGAGTTTTGCTCTTGTTACCCAGGCTGGAGTGCAATGGCGCGATCTCGGCTCACCGCAACCTCCATCTCCTGGGTTCAGGCAATTCTCCTGCTTTAGCCTCCCGAGTAGCCGGGATTACAGGCACGCGCTACCACACCCAGCTAATTTTTGTGTTTTTAGTAGAGTTAGGGTTTCACCATGTTGGCAAGGCTGGTCTCGAACTCCTGACCTTGTGCTCCACCCGCCTTTGCCTTCCAAAGTGCTGGGATTACAGGCATGAGCCACCACGCCTGGCTGCATTTTTACTCTTTAAATTCCTCTTCCACTACCCTATCACTGATTTTGTCTACCTTCCAGCCATCTCCCTTATTTGAGCAGCAATGCATGGGGAATAGATAGCGGGCTCTGCAGTGCGTACCACCCAGACTCTTCCCCAGGAGACCCTTCCCCAGGATAGGGCATTTATGACCTCAGCTGCTGGGAGCATTGGCTGCTGTCAGCTCTCAGCTGAGTCCCTATGACTGTTCAATGTGGACTTTCCAGCGTCCTGTCCTCTTGCTATCCCAGCTCCATATTCCCCACGGCATTAACTAAGGCTTCTGCTGAGGCTGCACTGCAGTTTGACTTTTCCCTTCCACAGATGCGATACTGACGGCACTTTGCAATAGACTTCCTGACTGCAGCTCTCCATCTTGGAGTCTGATTCCTGGGGACCTGGTTCACAACAGCCCACCACAGGCTCTGAAGTCAGACAGAACTGGGTTTCAATCTTATCCCAAACACCAGCTAGATATGTAACCCTAGAGATGGTAAGTCCATTGTATACCTTGTATGCCTCGGGTTTTTAATATATAAAAATGCAATAATAATAGTACAGTAAGTCCTCACTGAATGTTGATAGTTTCTTAGAAACTCCAATTTTAAGTGAAATAATGTATAATGAAACCATTTTTCCCTCATAATCATAATGGAAAGGACATTACTTGAGGACATGCTGCACATCATTTTACTTAAAGTCAAAGTTTCCAAGAACTCATCAACAAAGTTAAGTGAGAACTTACTGTATACACTTCTTGCAGTTACTGAGGATGAAATCACACATGTAAAGCACAGTGCACATGCTAGATGCTCAAAACAGGTGCCAGCATGTTAGTAGTAGTATTACATTAAACCTATAATCTTAGCAGAGTAATTGGGAGAGCCAGGACAGAAGACATGGAGAGATTTTGCTAAAATTCATTCTCTCTTTTCCCCTCCTTGCGTGCATTTCCAGTGCCCTCACGCCCGGCTAAAGCAGAAATAGATCTGTTGTGTTAACTTGTTTCCAGAAGATGGCACTAGCAGATAATGCTACAGTCCAGTCCCTTTCAGGAACAATTTTCTTTTCTTTTCTTTTTATTTATTGAGCTGGAGTCTCTGTCACCCAGGCTGGAGTACAATGGTGCAATCTTGGCTCACTGCAACCTCTGTCTCCCAGGCTCAAGCGATTCTCCTACCTCAGCCTCCCAAGTAGTTGGGATTACAGGCATGTGCCACCACGCCTGGCTCATTCCTGTATTTTTAGTAGAGAGAAGGTCTCACCATGTTGGCCAGGCTGGTCTTGAACTCTTGGCCTCAAGTGATCCACCCACCTCGGCCTCCCAAAGTGCTGGGATTACAGGTGTGGGCCACCATGCCTGGCCAGGAACAATTTTCACTATTCACAGATTACATATCAGCTTCACATGTGTTATCTTATTTGATTCTCTTTCACCAACTATTTACCAAATGCTGATTATTCTATCATTTATTCTCTTATTCCTTTGCAACAAATGCTTACTGAGCACTTACTCTAGCCAAAGAGCATCTTTAAATGCATTCTCAAACATGATGACTAAGAAACAGAAAAGGAGATAGAATTCTAAACCCCTGCTGGAGAGCTGGACTTTCCAGAGATGAGTAAAACTACCTCTAGCCACTGATTTCTTTCTGGTTCTGGATTGATGTCAACTCATGCTCTGGAAGGAGGCTACTTTAAAAAGCAGACGAAGCTTAATTCAAGTGAAACTAAGTCAGAAAGAAAATGACTCCCCTGTAGGAGCAGCTGGGGTACATCTCAGAGACTGTCCATAGTAATTCCCAAGGGCTATTGATCTGAGAGCAGAGCATTTGGTCCCTGGACTGGTGAAAATTGTTGAGCAGGGAAAGATGAACAAAATCCATAAAGGGAATGGAGAAAAGATGTTGAAGGGCTCCAGTGGAGGGAAGGTTAGCTGGACTGCATTCCGGAGCTCCAGACAGAGGGGACTCTGCAGGTCCTTGAACTTTGCAAGCAGGCCTGCAAGCAAACCTGGAAACCATGAGACCAGGGCCTGGCAATCTATTTCTATGGTGGGGATAGAGGGGCTCCCCCTCAGCCTTCTCACACTCACTCCAGAACTGTGACAGGGTGAGCTTATCTGAAGATCACCTCAGCAGTGCAGTTTTACGGGTGTCAAGAAAGGCTGCTTCTATGGGTGAAATATCCTTTAACAATCAGTCTCTGTCTGGTACCCCAAATGGCACTGGTAGTGTCCTTTTTTTCTTTTTTCTTTCTTTCTTTTTTTTTTTTTTTTTTTTGAGACAGTCTCATTCTCTCACCCAGGTTGGAGTACAGTGGCATGATCTCAGCTCACTGCAACCTCTGCCTCCTGGGTTCAAACACTTCTCCAGCATCAGCCTCTTGCGTAGTTGGGACCACAGGTTTGTGCCACCATGCCAGGCTAAGTTTTCTATTTTTTGTAGAGACGAGGTTTCACCATGTTGGCCAGGCTGGTCTCCAACTCCTGACCTCAAATGATCTGCCCATCTCGGCTTCCCAAAGTGCTGGGATTACAGGCATGAGCCACTGTGCATGGCCCATTAGTGTTCTTTAATATGAATATTGCAGGAGTTAAGAACAGGATTTCTTTATAGAAATGTATAATTATACTGGTTTGGAGAAAAGTCTACAAATGTACACATCAGTTGTTAATAGAGGTTATCATGAGTTAGAAATCGTGGAATGAGTAAGGGAGATTAATGGAGTTTGGAAAAGGAAGAGGAAAAGGATAGGTAAGAAAAAAAATCACGGGATTTCCAACTTACTGGAATCCCCTCCCACATGGTGGGAGCTCCCTCTGGGATTTCCCCTCCAGAATCCCCTTCCACACTTTTTGTGGAAGCCTTTCTCTTCTTCTCCTTTCTTTCTCTTTTCTCTACCTAAATAAAATCACCTTTCTGCAACAACAAAAACAAAAAGTCACATTTAAAAAGTGTTCTCTTGACTAAAAGAATATGTATTATTTGTTTTGATTTACGAAAATGGTTATTTCTATTGCCCATACACATTAAGACAGGCATGAAAGATGCCCATTAAAATGTTAACAGAAGTTAATCATATGCTCATGAGATTTCAAAGACTGTTACTTTCTTCCTTATAACTTTATATATTTAAATTTTTATAGGAAGCATTTAAATCAGGAAAGTGGAAAAAAACAAAATTAAGAACATTATTGCAAGCCAAATGAGAAAAACAGTAACACAGCTGAGCCATTCAAATTCTAATTTGTCTCTTCCATGATTGCGTGACTCTAAAGGAATGACTTATCTGATCCTCAGTTTCTTCCTCTTTAATTTTTAATTTATTTTATGAGAATGTGTATTAGTCAAGGTTCTCTAGTGGGACAGAACTAACAGGATAGATGTATATATGTAAGGGAGTTTATTATGAAATATTGACTCACATGGGTTTTGTTGAAAGCGTATAGAGTAGATTATAGAGTCACAGGGAAACTAAACTCAGAGGTTGAGAAGCCAGGCATGGTATCTACATTTGCATCAACAGAATTGGCCTAGGGACACTGCTGGCTTTCTGGCTCCAGACACCCAGTGCTGCCCATAACCGCACTGGATTGTTGTCTCTGAAATTTGATCTTACTCTCCCACCACACCTGCCAGAGAACAGTCTCCATATGAGTTTGAAAATTGAAGTCCATGGCAGATGCACCTGATGGTGACTTAGGCAACACCTAAGTCACACACTGATATCTGCCATGCAAGGGGGACATGGCATTTTCTGCCTCTGCAGAATTGAACTCTGGGTTCCAAGGAGTTTAATGAAATAGGTAATTCCCTTACACACAGGAAGTAGGTTCAGATGCATCCAGCTAGTAACCAAAGGCTTACTAGCTGGATAGCTGGATACTCACGGTAAAATTCTTGAAATCTCAGTACCCAAGTTTCCCTGTCTGCAAAATGGAAATTATATTAGTAACTTCTTCAAAATATTATTCACAGGATTAAAAGAATTAATACATGTAAAATTCTTACAATGATATCATCCGTATAATGGTTTAATGAATGCTAGATCTGATTTTTCAGTTATATGAACCTTTTGGCTTAAACTATTTGAGATTTGGTACTTTTTTTTTTCTACTCGCAACTTACAGTTCTAACTAATATGAGGACTACTGATAGACAGGATTGTTGTAAAGCTGGAGTGAGAAAATCTATGTAAAGTTCTTGGTACATGGTGATATGGTTTGGCTGTGTCCCCACCCACATCTCATCTTGAATTGTAGCTCCCATCATTCCCATGTGTCATGGGAGGCACCTGGTGGGAAGTAATTGAATCATGGGAGCTGGTTTTTTTCCATGCTGTTCTCATGATATAAGTCTCATGATATCTAATGGTTTTATAGGGGAGTTCTTCTGCACATGCCCTCTTGCCTGCTGCCATATAAGACGTGACTTTGCTGCTCCTCATTCACCTTCTGCCATGATTGTGAACTGTTAGTCAATTAAAGCTCTTTTCTTTATAAATTATTCAGACTCAGGTATGTCTTCATTAATAGTGTGAGAACAGACTGATATACATGGGAAGCTCTCAGTAAATAATATTAATATCTACTTATTACTGGTATTAATACTGTTACTACTAATTAATGGTTTTTAAGATCTTCTCTTTGTAACTGCTAAGACCAAGGTTTTGTAAGAGGTACCTGAAAGGGCAATCTAGGGAGGGGTTTTGAGTATTTGGAGTTTACAAGAGGTATCAGGACACCAAAGAGAAAGAAGACTGAGGAAGGAAATGGACTTACAGGTGAACTCAGAAAATAGTTGTTGAATGGATGATGAAGAAGATAAAAGAATAAAAGATAAAAGAGTCTCCTCCTTCTAGTAGCAAGAGTTATATTCATTGCGAGGGACCTACTCTGAGCCACATACAGCGCTGGCTCTTGGAGCTACAGAGATAATACGAAGGACTGTATTTATTTACTTTTTTTTGAGACAGGATCTGGCTCTGTTGCCCAGGCTGAATGCAGTGGAGCGATCATGGTTCACTATAACCTCAACCTTCCTTATTCAAGCAATCCTCCCACCTCACCCTCTCAAGTAGCCAGGACCACAGATGGGTGCCACACCCAGCTAATTTTTTTTTAATTTGTTTGTTTGGTAGAGATGAGGTCTCACTATGTTTCCCAGGATGGTGTCAAACTCCTGGGCTGAAGCGATCTTTCACCTCAGCCTTTCTTTTTTCTTTGAGACAGAGTCTTGGTCTGTTGCCCAGGCTGGAGTGCAGTGGCACAATCTCAACTCACTGCAGCCTCTGCCGTCTGGGTTCAAGAAATTCTCCTGTTTCAGCCTCCTGAGGAGTTGGGAATACAGGCACATGCCACCACGCCTGGCTAATTTTTGCATTTTTAGTAGAGACAGAGTGTCAACGTATTTCAGGCTGGTCTCAAACTCCTGACCTCAGGTGATCCACCCACCTCAGCCTCCCAAAGTGCTGGAATTACAGGAGTGAGCC